TCACAGAATATACTGTAAAGTGAATTGACTGTATATGTGTGGGCGAAATGCGGCAGCCAATTGCGCACAGCAATGTCCCACAAACAGTCGTGGATTGAAGTGACCAAATTATTATTTTTTTCTTGAGGGATTATTATCAAGCATGTGGAGAAAGGAAACTTGCCCAAGGTTTCGCCCTGTTTCACCCTACAATGTTACAGTGTAGCGCTCATCATCAAAAAAAATTCTGCTGCATTTAGTATCATCTGCGGCAACGAAACTATTGCATACAATATTCCATACAAATGCCGGTGTAAAATGCATACACGTGCTATACAATAATTATCAGCTCAACCAAGAAAGACTGCAGATTTCTTACTATGAATAGTATTTATAAATAAATAGTATTTATCATTCATGTGTGGAGGGGCCAACTTGCTCAAAATGCTTCAAAAGCAAAGGGGAACAGGGCCTGAAGCTGACAGTCTGGGCTCACACAACAATGCAATGTTGAAGTTTCTTGTCTTATCAGTCGTGTCCGGACCTATTGTAGATTGTTAGCTCAAAGTCCTGAGCTTTGGTTGAATGCACAACCTTCTGACTAACTACAAGAGTGCTACCAACTGAGACGCTTGCCGATCCGGATTTACACACTTACTCGCTCTCCAAGCCGGGCTGACACACTCACTTGCTCTCTGAGTTGGCCTAACACACGCACTCACTCTCCAAACCGGGCCGACATACCAGCTCACTCGTTCACTGAGCTAGGCTGACACACTTGTTCGCTCTCCGAGCCAGGCTGACGCTCGCTCTCTCTGAGCTGGGCTGACACACTCGCTCTGTCTTAGAAGCATACGTTTATTCCAAATTGTAAGCTGGGCTTACACACTTACTCGTACACTTACTCGAGCCAGGCTGACACACTCGCTCACTCACTGATACAGGCTGACACACTCGCTCACTCACTGATACAGGCTGACACACTCGTTCACTCACTGATACAGGCTGACACACTCGCTCACTCACTGATACAGGCTGACACACTCGCTCACTCACTGAGCCGGGCTGACACACTCGCTCGCTCACTGATACAGGCTGACACACTCGCTCGCTCACTGATACAGGCTGACACACTCGCTCGCTCACTGATACAGGCTGACACACTCGCTCACTCACTGAGCCGGGCTGACACACTCGCTGACTCACTGAGCCGGGCTGACACACTCGCTCACTCACTGATACAGGCTGACACACTCGCTCACTCACTGATACAGGCTGACACACTCGCTCACTCACTGATACAGGCTGACACACTCGCTCACTCACTGATACAGGCTGACACACTCGCTCACTCACTGATACAGGCTGACACACTCGCTCACTCACTGATACAGGCTGACACACTCGCTCACTCACTGATACAGGCTGACACACTCGCTCACTCACTGATACAGGCTGACACACTCGCTCACTCACTGATACAGGCTGACACACTCGCTCACTCACTGATACAGGCTGACACACTCGCTCACTCACTGATACAGGCTGACACACTCGCTCACTCACTGATACAGGCTGACACACTCGCTCACTCACTGAGCCGGGCTGACACACTCGCTGACCCACTGAGCCGGGCTGACACACTCGCTCACTCACTGATACAGGCTGACACACTCGCTCACTCACTGATACAGGCTGACACACTCGCTCACTCACTGATACAGGCTGACACACTCGCTCACTCACTGATACAGGCTGACACACTCGCTCACTCACTGAGCCGGGCTGACACACTCACTCACTCACTGAGCCGGGCTGACACACTCGCTGACTCACTGAGCCGGGCTGACACACTCGCTGACCCACTGAGCCGGGCTGACACACTCGCTCCCTCACTGATACAGGCTGACACACTCGCTCACTCACTGATACAGGCTGACACACTCGCTCACTCACTGATACAGGCTGACACACTCGCTCACTCACTGATACAGGCTGACACACTCGCTCACTCACTGATACAGGCTGACACACTCGCTGACCCACTGAGCCGGGCTGACACACTCGCTCACTCACTGATACAGGCTGACACACTCGCTCACTCACTGAGCCGGGCTGACACACTCGCTGACCCATTGAGCCGGGCTGACACACTCGCTGACTCACTGAGCCGGGCTGACACACTCGCTGACTCACTGAGCCGGGCTGACACACTCGCTGACCCACTGAGCCGGGCTGACACACTCGCTCCCTCACTGATACAGGCTGACACACTCGCTCACTCACTGAGCCGGGCTGACACACTCGCTCACTCACTGAGCCGGGCTGACACACTCGCTCACTCACTGAGCCGGCTGACACGCTCGCTCCCTCACTGAGCCGGGCTGACACACTCGCTCCCTCCCTGAGCCGGGCTGACACACTCGCTCACTCACTGAGCCGGGCTGACACACTCGCTCACTCACTGATACAGGCTGACACACTCGCTCCCTCACTGATACAGGCTGACACACTCGCTCACTCACTGATACAGGCTGACACACTCGCTCACTCACTGATACAGGCTGACACACTCGCTCACTCACTGAGCCGGGCTGACACACTCGCTCGCTCACTGATACAGGCTGACACACTCGCTCACTCACTGAGCCGGGCTGACACACTCGCTCACTCACTGAGCCGGGCTGACACACTCGCTCACTCACTGAGCCGGGCTGACACACTCGCTCCCTCACTGAGCCGGGCTGACACACTCGCTCACTCACTGATACAGGCTGACACACTCGCTCACTCACTGATACAGGCTGACACACTCGCTCACTCACTGATACAGGCTGACACACTCGCTCACTCACTGATACAGGCTGACACACTCGCTCACTCACTGATACAGGCTGACACACTCGCTCACTCACTGATACAGGCTGACACACTCGCTCACTCACTGATACAGGCTGACACACTCGCTCACTCACTGATACAGGCTGACACACTCGCTCACTCACTGATACAGGCTGACACACTCGCTCACTCACTGATACAGGCTGACACACTCGCTCACTCACTGATACAGGCTGACACACTCGCTCACTCACTGATACAGGCTGACACACTCGCTCACTCACTGATACAGGCTGACACACTCGCTCACTCACTGAGCCGGGCTGACACACTCGCTCACTCACTGAGCCGGGCTGACACACTCGCTGACCCACTGAGCCGGGCTGACACACTCGCTGACTCACTGAGCCGGGCTGACACACTCGCTGACCCACTGAGCCGGGCTGACACACTCGCTCCTCACTGATACAGGCTGACACACTCGCTCACTCACTGAGCCGGGCTGACACACTCGCTCACTCACTGAGCCGGGCTGACACACTCGCTCCCTCACTGAGCCGGGCTGACACACTCGCTCCCTCCCTGAGCCGGGCTGACACACTCGCTCACTCACTGAGCCGGGCTGACACACTCGCTCACTCACTGATACAGGCTGACACACTCGCTGACCCACTGAGCCGGGCTGACACACTCGCTCACTCACTGATACAGGCTGACACACTCGCTCACTCACTGATACAGGCTGACACACTCGCTCACTCACTGAGCCGGGCTGACACACTCGCTCACTCACTGAGCCGGGCTGACACACTCGCTCCCTCACTGAGCCGGGCTGACACACTCGCTCACTCACTGAGCCGGGCTGACACACTCGCTCCCTCACTGAGCCGGGCTGACACACTCGCTCCCTCACTGAGCCGGGCTGACACACTCGCTCACTTACTGAGCCGGGCTGACACACTCGCTCGCTCACTGAGCCGGGCTGACACACTCGCTCGCTCACTGAGCCGGGCTGACACACTCGCTCAGTCACTGAGCCGGGCTGACACACTCGCTCACTCACTGATACAGGCTGACACACTCGCTCACTCACTGATACAGGCTGACACACTCGCTCACTCACTGATACAGGCTGACACACTCGCTCACTCACTGATACAGGCTGACACACTCGCTCACTCACTGATACAGGCTGACACACTCGCTCACTCACTGATACAGGCTGACACACTCGCTCACTCACTGATACAGGCTGACACACTCGCTGACTCACTGAGCCGGGCTGACACACTCGCTCACTCACTGAGCCGGGCTGACACACTCGCTCACTCACTGAGCCGGGCTGACACACTCGCTGACTCACTGAGCCGGGCTGACACACTCGCTGACCCACTGAGCCGGGCTGACACACTCGCTCCTCACTGATACAGGCTGACACACTCGCTCACTCACTGATACAGGCTGACACACTCGCTCACTCACTGATACAGGCTGACACACTCGCTCACTCACTGATACAGGCTGACACACTCGCTGACCCACTGAGCCGGGCTGACACACTCGCTCACTCACTGATACAGGCTGACACACTCGCTCACTCACTGAGCCGGGCTGACACACTCGCTGACCCACTGAGCCGGGCTGACACACTCGCTGACTCACTGAGCCGGGCTGACACACTCGCTGACCCACTGAGCCGGGCTGACACACTCGCTCCCTCACTGATACAGGCTGACACACTCGCTCACTCACTGAGCCGGGCTGACACACTCGCTCACTCACTGAGCCGGGCTGACACACTCGCTCACTCACTGAGCCGGGCTGACACACTCGCTCCCTCACTGAGCCGGGCTGACACACTCGCTCCCTCCCTGAGCCGGGCTGACACACTCGCTCACTCACTGAGCCGGGCTGACACACTCGCTCACTCACTGATACAGGCTGACACACTCGCTGACCCACTGAGCCGGGCTGACACACTCGCTCACTCACTGATACAGGCTGACACACTCGCTCACTCACTGATACAGGCTGACACACTCGCTCACTCACTGAGCCGGGCTGACACACTCGCTCACTCACTGAGCCGGGCTGACACACTCGCTCACTCACTGACACACAACGCTAGAGAGTGAAAGTCACAAACACACACAGATTGCCCAGAAGAGACACAAACTCACCATCCACTCCTGTATGAATCTTTCGCTCTCCTGCTGCTCAGCCGTCTTGTTCCTCCTGAACTCGTCCCTGACATACTGATCGCCCAGAGCCCGCAGGTCAGGGGGCAGGAGGCGGTGGAGGAGGAGGATCCTCCGGTACAGCATCCGCACCCGGCACACGTGAGCCGCCCCCAACATCAGCAACAACTGAAACAGCGTTTAAACTATCAAACCAGTGGTCGCGACCCCCACCCACACCAGCACCCCCACACCAGCCCCCCCCCCCCCCCCCCCCCCCCCACCAGCCTCCCACCCACCAGGCCCCCCCCCACCAGCCCCCCCCACCAGCCCCCCACCCACACCAGCACCCCACCAGCCCCCCCCCACCAGCCCCCCCCCACCAGCCTCCCCACCCACCAGCCCCCCACCCACCACCAGCCCCCCCACCCCCACCAGCACCCCATCCACCAGCCCCCCACCCACACCAGCCCCCCACCCCCCCCCACCAGCCCCCCCCCACCAGCCCCCCACCCACACCAGCACCCCCACCAGCCCCCCCCACCAGCCCCCCCCCACCAGCCTCCCACCCACCAGGCCCCCCCACCAGCCCCCCACCCACCACCAGCCCCCCCACCCCCACCAGCCCCCCACCCACCAGCCCCCCACCCACCAGCCCCCCCTCACCAGTCCCCCCCACCCCCCCTCACCAGCCCCCCCACCAGCCCCCCCACCAGCCCCCCACCAGCCCCCCCACCACCAGCCCCCCCACCCCCACCAGCCCCCCCCCCACCCCCACCAGCCCCCCCTCACCAGCCCCCCCACCCCCACCAGCCCCCCCCCCACCCCCACCAGCCCCCCCTCACCAGCCCCCCACCCCACCAGCCCCCACCCACCAGCCCCCACCCCCACCAGCCCCCCACCAGCCCCCCCACCAGCCCCCCACCCCACCAGCCCCCCCCCCACCAGCCCCCCCAACAAGCACCCCCCCCACCCACCCCCACACCAGCCCCACACCACACGTACTGACCTGTCGGGTCCGGCAATAATCTCCTTCCGGAAGCACATCGTCGTCTGCATTTTTTTTGTCCCTTAAAATAATAATAATAATAATTATAATAATGATTTGTTTTGGGGATTTATTTAAAATGTCTCAAATTCAAATACAAAATTTTAAATCTGAAACTGTGAGGCTGTCCGGGGGGGGAGGGGGGGGGGGGAGGGGGGGCCCTGGTTCCGGGCTCCGCTGCCGCGGTGCGGGGGGACTGACGGTGGTGCTCACTTCCGTGTGGCCACTACTGCCCATGCGCTGTTGCCTGGAGACGGGCACAGCCACAGGGACCCACAGCCACAGACCCACAGGGACAGAGACCCACAGCCACAGAGACCCACAGGGACCCACAGCCATAGAGACCCATAGCCACAGGGACCCACAGCCATAGAGACCCACAGCCACAGACCCACAGGGACAGAGACCCACAGCCACAGAGACCCACAGCCACAGGGACCCACAGGGACAGAGACCCACAGCCACAGGGACCCACAGCCACAGAGACCCACAGCCACAGAGACCCACAGCCACAGGGACCCACAGCCACAGGGACAGAGACCCACAGCCACAGAGACCCACAGCCACAGAGACCCACAGCCACAGGGACCCACAGCCACAGGGACAGAGACCCACAGCCACAGAGACCCACAGCCACAGGGACAGAGACCCACAGCCACAGAGACCCACAGCCACAGAGACCCACAGCCACAGGGCCCCACAGCCACAGGGACCCACAGCCACAGAGACCCACAGCCACAGAGACCCACAGCCACAGAGACCCACAGCCACAGAGACCCACAGGGACAGAGACCCACAGCCACAGGGCCCACAGCCACAGAGACCCACAGGGACAGAGACCCACAGCCACAGGGACCCAGAGCCACAGAGACCCACAGCCACAGAGACCCACAGCCACAGAGACCCACAGCCACAGGGACCCACAGCCACAGAGACCCACAGCCACAGAGACCCACAGCCACAGAGACCCACAGGGACAGAGACCCACAGCCACAGGGCCCACAGCCACAGAGACCCACAGCCACAGGGACCCACAGCCACAGGGACCCACAGCCACAGAGACCCACAGCCACAGAGACCCACAGGGACAGAGACCCACAGTCACAGGGACCCACAGCCACAGAGACCCACAGGGACAGAGACCCACAGCCACAGGGACCCACAGCCACAGAGACCCACAGCCACAGAGACCCACAGCCACAGAGACCCACAGGGACAGAGACCCACAGGGACAGGGACCCACAGCCACAGAGACCCACAGCCACAGAGACCCACAGGGACAGAGACCCACAGGGACAGAGACCCACAGGGACAGAAACCCACAGCCACAGAGACCCACAGCCACAGGGACCCACAGCCACAGAGACCCACAGCCACAGGGACCCACAGGGACAGGGACCCACAGCCACAGGGACCCACAGCCACAGAGACCCACAGCCACAGAGACCCACAGCCACAGAGACCCACAGGGACAGAGGCCCACAGCCACAGAGACCCACAGCCACAGAGACCCACAGCCACAGGGACCCACAGCCACAGGGACCCACAGCCACAGAGACCCACAACCACAGAGACCCACAGCCACAGAGACCCACAGGGACAGAGACCCACAGCCACAGGGACAGAGACCCACAGTCACAGGGACCCACAGCCACAGAGACCCACAGGGACAGAGACCCACAGCCACAGGGACCCACAGCCACAGAGACCCACAGCCACAGAGACCCACAGGGACAGAGACCCACAGGGACAGGGACCCACAGCCACAGAGACCCACAGCCACAGAGACCCACAGGGACAGAGACCCACAGGGACAGAGACCCACAGGGACAGAAACCCACAGCCACAGAGACCCACAGCCACAGGGACCCACAGCCACAGAGACCCACAGCCACAGGGACCCACAGGGACAGAGACCCACAGGGACCCACAGCCACAGGGACCCACAGCCACAGAGACCCACAGCCACAGAGACCCACAGCCACAGGGATCCACAGCCACAGAGGCCCACAGGGACAGAGGCCCACAGCCACAGAGACCCACAGCCACAGAGACCCACAGCCACAGAGACCCACAGCCACAGAGACCCACAGCCACAGGGATCCACAGCCACAGGGACCCACAGCCACAGGGACCCACAGGGACAGAGACCCACAGGGACAGGGACCCACAGCCACAGGGATCCACAGCCACAGAGACCCACAGGGACAGAGACCCACAGGGACAGGGACCCACAGGGACAGGGACCCACAGCCACAGGGATCCACAGCCACAGAGACCCACAGGGACAGAGACCCACAGGGACAGGGACCCACAGGGACAGGGACCCACAGCCACAGGGATCCACAGCCACAGAGACCCACAGGGACAGAGACCCACAGGGACAGGGACCCACAGCCACAGGGGCACACAGGGACAGGCAGCAGCTGGTCTTTGCTGATAAACATTTTAGTCTCAAAATACAAACTTCCTGGAACAGTGGGAAAAGCACTCCTGCCGCTGAGGTGCAGGAATGTGGTTTCCAGCTCACACAGTGTGAGGGGCTTGGGGTGCTCGTGTTTTGTGAACTAAATAGTAATAGTAAACCTTGCATTTGATATAGCACCTTATCACGTCTCAAAGCGCTTCACACAATATGCTGTTTGGTGAATATCCTGTACATTTTGTGGGCGAAACACGGCAGCCAATAGAGCACAGCAGTGTCCCACAAACAGTCATGGATTGAGAGACCAAATTACTACTATTTGTTTTTGAAGAGATTATTACACCCGGAAAGTGATCCGCCAATCGACAAATCCGAGGACAGGTTTATATAAATAAATGAATTCACCACAATTGCTGATGCTGGCAGTACCGGATAAGCTTGTTGGGTTAATGGTTGTGTTTCTCTGAAGAATGTATCTGTTTTAGAATTTTAAGTTCTTGCTCAGTTTTTTGCTGAACTTCAGACGGTAAATTTGGCCAAGGACACAATATCTCATCCGGGGACAGTCCCTGGAAATCGGGGAAATATGGTCATCCAATAAATTAGGCTGACACCCCAGTACAGTGCATGGGGGGGGGGGGTGTTGTCAGAGGTGTGGTCCTCACTACTGTTAATAAGCCTTGTAATTGATGTAGTGCCTTAGCACGTTGAGACACCACCAAGTGCTTCACAAGGTTTTACCGTAAAGTGTTGTGGCTGTATATTTTGCAGATGATTGTGGCAACCAATATTTTTGTGTTTCCTTTCCAGAAATATAACATTTACATTTTTTAAACAAAACATACAGAATATATTTATTAATTGATATATATTTACGCTTATCTCCAACAATATCAAACCTATTACAGAAAAAGGCAACATTTTATTATCCAGTATTCCTATAGGCTCAATGGGACAATTATCTCGTCTTGACTGTGCTGACATTTGTATGTGAATAGTACAATATCTCAATGAATGAAACTGTTTGGAGATGTTAGAAATTCCCTCCTAACGTTATACTTATGGATTCGGGACCATTTCTACGTCAGTGAAGCGGTGGGAGAGGGAGTGAGTGAGCTGACATCTGTGAGATCATTGTGAAGTCAGCTGGCAGCTATTTTTGTGTCAGGGTCAGATGATTGCAGGCGGTTTAGTCTAGCAATTGAATCCCACAACCATTCACAATACAGGCAATAACTGAACATTTCAGACCCGAGTGGGGTCAGGGAGGGAGAAGGAGGGAAGGGGGGTGACCGATGGCATGGTCGAAGAGAAGGGTTTTGAGGCGGGACTTGAAGGGGGCTAAGGGGTGGGTGAGGCGGAGTGATTGGGGGGATGGAATTTAAGAGGTTGGGGGCAGAGTGGCTGAAGACTCTCCCGCCAATGGTGGGTCGGGGGACACGGAGCAGGCCGGAGCCGGCTGAGCGGAGGGAGCAGGTGGGTTGGTAGGGGGTTAGGAGGTCGCAGAGGTAGGGTGGGGCGAGGCCATGGAGGGCTTTGTAGGTGAGGACCAGGATCTTGAACTGGATCCTCTGAAGGATAGGGAGCCAATGGAGTCGGGCGAGAATGGGGGAGAATGCGTCATGGAGTTTGGTGTGGGAGAGGACATGGGCTGCAGAGTTCTGGATTATCTGCAGCCTGTGGAAGGAGGAGTTGGGAAGGCCGACAAGCAGGCGTTTGCATAGTCGAGCCTAGAGGTGATGAAGGCATAAACAAGAGTTTCAGTGGCCTGAGGGGTGAGGTAGTGATGGAGTCGAGCGATGTTATGGAGGTGATGGAAGGCAGAACAGGTCATGGCTTGGATGTGGGGAAGAAAAGACAATTGAGGGTCGAACAAGCCATCTAGGTTCCTGACTGGCGGTGAGTTGGAGCGTGCAACCATGGAGGTTGATGCTGCCAGAGCCTGAACAAATTCAAAACAAATCTATACAAACACTATTTCAGTGAACAAATAGTGAATCTGTGGAACAGGCACCCTAGGGAGACAGTTGAAGCAGGAAATGTTGATTCTTTCAAACACAGATTAGATAGTTTTCTTTTAGGAAATAACATTATGGGATAAAGTACATAGGTAGTATGGGATATATGTGCATGCGACCACCAGGAAGGTGGAAGAAGAACTAGATGGACCTTGGTCTTTTTTCGTCTAGCATTTCTTATGTTCTTATGCTAGCACACAATACACGTCACACACACAGTGCAGTGATTGTAGACTTAGCAGCCGAACAATTTCATCCTTTGAGTGGACAGTGAAGTGGGGGTGTGAGTGAGCTGACATCTGTAAGACCATTGTGAAGTAAGCTGGCAGTGAGACTAACTGGCAAGTGCTGCCCAGGGCCATTGACCACTCTTTTACATAGAAACAGAAGCAGGCCATTCAGCCCCTCGAGCCTATTCCGCAATTCTATAAGATCATGGCTGATCTGTACCTCAAGTCCAATTACCCGCCCTTGTCCCGTATCCCTTAATCCCCTGACCTAACAAATAGTTGTGCACCTCAGTCTTGAAATTGTTAATTGATCCAGCATCCACAGCCTTTTGGCAGAGAGAGTTTCAGATTTCATGACCCTTTGGGTGAAAAACTGCCTCCTAATTTCATTCCTAAATGGTGGGTGGGTCGATAGCCCGATTGCACTGATTTAAAATTATTGTTAAAAGAAACAGAGGGAAGGTGAAAAGAAATATTTTTACACAGCGAGTTTGGATCTGGAATGCATTGCCTGAAAATGTGGTGGAAGCTGATTCAATAACAGCTTTCAAGAGAGAAGTAGATAATTATTTGGGGAGGACAAGTTTGCAGGGCTATGGGCAGAGAGTCGGGAAGTGGGATTGATTTGGATAGCTCTTTTCAAAGAACTGGCACAAACACGATAGGCCGAATGGCCTCTTTCTGTGCTGTATAATTCTATGATTCTACACAATTTACTGTGCCTCCTAACTTTATGTCATCTGCAAATTTAGATATAAAACTTACTAGTTCTTCATCCAAGTCATTCATATATGTATGGTGAATGGCCGAGACCCCAGTACAGACGCCTGAGAAACACCACTTGTCATGTCCTGCCAATCAGAGAAGGTGTGCAGTCCCCTCACGCTGCCATCTTGCAGGGCCAGGATGATGAGATCCCACCTCTAATATCTTATACTGAACAGGATGCTAATAGCAGCATGGGCTCTGTGGTATTATAATAATAAGATAATAATAATCTTTGCATTTGATATAACGCTTTTCATGTCTTCTAGATGTCTCAAAGCACTTCACAGAATATATGGTAAGTGAATTGACTGTATATTTGTGGGCGAAATGCAGCAGCCAATTGTGCACTACAGTGTCCCACAAACAGTCGTGGATTGAAGTGACCAATTTATTATTCTTTTTTTCTTGAGGGATATTATCAGGCGTGTGGAGTAAGGAAACTTGCCCAAGGTTTTGCCGTGCTGGGAATTGAACTCAGGTCTCTGGCTTGTAAGGCGAATGCTCTAACCACTGCTGTGGGGAGAATGAGAGCTCCAGTAATGTACATCTCTTGTGATGTGTCTGACCAAGAAATGCTTGACCCAATCAAGTCTTCGTCGCACCTGCTTAGACATCCCAGTGCTCTCCTTTGCTGCTGCCCTCGCTTCTGTCCCTCTCTGCTCTCCCTCTCTCACTGCTCTCCTTCCCTCACTGCTCTCCCTCAGTTGCTGCTCTCCTTCCCTCGTTGCTCTCCCTCTCTCACTGTTCTTCCTCGCTGCTCTCCCTCGTTGCTCTCCTTCCTTCACTGCTCTCCTTCCCTCACTGCTCTCCTTCCCTCACTGCTCTCCTTCCCTCGCTGCTCTCCTCCCTTGCTGCTCTCCTCCCTCGCTGCTCTACCTCCCTCGCTGATATCCCTCCCTCACTATTCTTCCTCGCTGCTCTCCCTCCCTTGCCGCTCTCCCTCACTACTGCCCCTTATGTACCACTACATGCGGAGCCACCTTTTGGCACTTGTGCCGCTGGTCTAGACTGATAGTCCAACACAGTGCTGGGGGCGTGCTGCATTGTTGAAGGTGCTGTCTTTTGGATGAGATGTTAAAATAAGTTCCTGTTTGCTTTTTCACGTGGATGTTAAAAATCCCGTTGCAGTACTTGAAAAGAAAAGGGAGTTTCTTATGGTGCTGTAGCCAACAATCCCCCAGATATAACTGATCATTCACTTCATAGCTATTTGTGGAACAATGTGCAAATTGGCTGCTGCATTTATCTACGGAAACACAGCCACTACACTCTACACGCTCCTGACACGAAAGACGCAATATCAAATGTAAGGAATAATGCTATCCGGTTGAACACCACCCCACCCCTGAAATGCTTGAGACAACCTGTGGGCTGTGGCACGTGAAATGAACGTAGGTTTCTATAGGGAGAAACTACCTGCGACAAGCATTAAGGCATTTAAGCCAATTGCACTTAGCATTTAGGCGCACCGAGACGCTATCCTATTCAAATACAAATTGTTGTTATTGTTGCAGCGTAATGTTACAATAACAACTTTATAATAATAATAATCCTTTGCATTTGATATAGTGCCTTATCAGGTCGCTGAGACGCCCCAAAGCCCCTGACAGAATACCCTGTGAAGTGAGTTGACTGTATTGGCTCCCAATGTGCTGTTTGCCCCCTGGAGTGGTTCAGGTGGGAGGGTGTGACCACGTGACACGGAGCCCCAGCCCGGGGGGGGGGGAGCACTGAGCTGCGCGCGCACAACAATGGACAGGGCGTGGTGGGTTGGGGAGGCTCAGTGCGCATGCGCGCGCCGCCTGCCCGCTGTCAGGGGACAGACAGAGAGAGAGAGAGGGACAGACGCAGAGCTGTAAGTGCTGTCACTGCAGCCTCTGCTTTGCTGTATTTTAACAGTGTTGCAAATCAGTACAAACGTAGATGTCATTTGCAGCAAAAAAATGCATTATAACCTGGTGCATTTGAGCTGGTATTTGGTTTGATTCCTGCATCCTCATCACCATGGCGACTTGCCTCCCCTGCCCCCCCAGCCCCTGGCTGGGCTGGGCTGGGCTGCCTGGGCTGGGCTGGGCTGGGCTGCCTGGGTTGCCTGGGCTGGGCTGGGTTAGGCTGGGCTGCCTGGGCTGGGCTGCCTGGGCTGGGCTGGGCTGGGCTGCCTGGGTTGCCTGGGCTGGGCTGGGCTGCCTGGGCTGGGCTGCCTGGGCTGGGCTGGCTGGGCTGACTGGGTTGCCTGGGCTGGGTTGGGCTGGGCTACCTGGGCTGGGCTGTGTCCGGCTGCTGCTGTTCTTGTGGTGGTTGAGGGCTGAATCGCTTTGTCTGAAAGGATGACTGACTGGTCTCTGGTGAGATGGGCGCCGGCGGCAGAGAAGAGAAAACAAGTGGCGTCAGCCCCAGCCCATCAGGACGGACCCGCGTGCTGCTGGTGCTGCTGGTGCTGGCGATGGCGATGGCCTGCAGCTGCTGCAGCTGTGATCTGTGCTGCTGCTCTGGTCCTTTGCTGCATCCTTCCCCGCCCATCAATAGGCTGCATGACGCCGAGCATCTGATATCCGATGAGCACTGTTGTTATTTACCCCCAAAGTCTCCCTCTTTTCAAACTTAATGCTGTTGTCACCACCGACTGAATTGCAGACAAGCTTCAGAGCGTGGATTTGCTGTCAAACCCCTTGACTCTTAAGATGTTTTTGTACATAAATATATACAATAGTCATTTTAATTTTGTTTGAACTTCTGTGAAGATAACTTGGAAAGTTCAGTGTATTTCCGCTGGAGCAGGTGTTTAATAGATGGTGTCAAGATTAGTGTTTTAAATAGGGTGAGTGGAGAGAAGCTGTGCTTTTTGTAGGTTAAATGGAGCGAGGATATGCTTTTGCTAAACGGAAATGGAGCAAAGCTAAATGGGAATTGAATAGGTAGGAGCAAACAGCAGCACAAACAAGAGGGTGATTCACTTCTCCTTTGCTGTAAAGTTTAATATCCTGTTTCTAATAACAATGTTAATTGCATGTTGCTCAAAGCAATAGTGCTTGCATAAAATACAATTCCTGTGCTTTTTGTTAATAGTAATAATAACATTAATACTTGTATTTGATATTGTGACTTGTGTTGGGAAGGCGTCTCAAAGCGCTTCACAGAATTTGCTGTCAATACAATTTATATGGTGCCTTAGATGTCACAAAGTGCTTGAGACGGCTGGCTGGGTAACCAAACTGGGTTTGGGAGAGGAAAGACGACCAAAACGCAAGGAAGAATGTCTAGAAACAGATGTTGAACAAGATGAAGGAGGAAGCAAGATGGAGGGGCTCCAAGTCTGCTGCCTACAACAACAAGATTACATTTGTATAGCACCTTTCACATCAGGAGGATGTCCCAAGGCGCTGGACAGTGTAATCTCTCACACTCTCAGTGACAGCCTACCTCTCACACCGTCTCCACTTCATCTCCACAAACGGTTTCTTCTCCAGCCCCCGCACCGTCTTGTGCGGAGTTCCTCAGGGCTCTGTCCTTGGTCCCCTCCTCCTCAATATCTATATGCTCCCTCTTGGTGACATCATTCGTAGACATGAGGTCAACTTCCACACGTGTGCGGATGACACCCAACTGTACCTCTGCGTCCATCTTCGACTCCAGGACCATTGCTGTCCAGACAGACTGCCTGTCAGACATCAAGTCCTGGATGAGAGCTAACTTTCTTCAGTTGAACGCTAATAAGCCCGAAGCTCTCCTGATTGGCTCCCGTCAGCGCCTCCATCCCACAGTCCCTCTGCCTTGTCCCCTCCCTTGCCTGCTTCAAGACCTGTCTCAAGACCCTCCTTTTCGACCATACATTTCATCATCCTCCTTCCGCCCATTGCCCTCCAGCCTCCCGATCCCGACCCCCAGCTCAGGTTCGAAACACTGATTGTCGAGTGCCTCGGGACGTCTTTCCGACGTGGAAGATGCAATACAAACTGTTATTTTCTATTTCTTCTTTCCCGCCTTAAGGTTCCTAGACAAGAAACACAATTCTTTTGCTAATTCTCTATCTTCTAGGGCTGTGATAATGCCTCTTAAGTGAAGCATCAGAATAGCTTGAGTTAACTTTATTTTCTTCCCTCTGGGGGAAGTGCCTTATCTTTATCTTTGCTACTGCCTCGAGTGAGATTTGGAATCTCAAGCATTCCTGGATGCTACCCCATGGGAAGGACACTGTATAAATGCAAGTTGTTGTTGTTGAGATTTTGGAATTGTGTGCACTGACCTGAGCCATGGCTTAGTATACATTACTCCAATCTGTAATGTGCCTCCTAGTATTTTTAAGAGTTTTGTGAATTATAGATTTCCAAGTACCAGCATGTTGTGGGTCATTGAGAAGCTTCCAGATGGTTACATCTAAACCGGTCATGCTTTTGAATCAGTTTTAGGAGCATTGTTATTTTTTTAATCCATCATCCCTTTCTTTCATTGTAATTGTGCAAGTGAATTATTGTATTGCAAAAAGAACAATAACTAGGGTTTAAATTTAAAGCATTGTTTTTGAGAGTCTAAAAAACCCCCAAACTTCAGACTGGTTTGTGTATAATTAGCAGAAAGCAAAGACTGAATTTTGTGCGTAGCATTTTGACTCGTAGTAACTCCACTATTTTAATAGGTTTCTTCCTTTAATGAAGAGAAAGGCCTCGTCTACATTAAGGAACGTTCATTTAAATGATTAGTCTATAGTCTGAAGAGATTGGTTGACAAGATCTTCTTGTTATACTGTACTTTAATGTTTGATGCATGAAGCTTCAGAATTTTGAGAATCTTGCATGAAGTAGCTATTAAACTATAGAAATTGAGGCAGGCCTTCCCTGATATTTTATTTGATCATCGAATTTCTCAAATATCAATTTATTTATCCGTTAATTTATCCATCTCCCATTTAAATGCCTCATTGATTCTGTAGTTGGAGCTTTCTGGAGCAACAACTTGCATTTATATAGCACCCTTCACTTGGGGTAGAATCCTGGAGCAATTAACAGGTGCTCCTGGACAGTGAAAAGGGCAGTTGACCATTGGTGCATTTTGCAGTATTACAACCCTTTGTGTGAGGAAATGGTCATCACCAACAGTGTCTTTCCTGTTGGTTCAGATTCCCTTTGCAGAGGGAAGAGTCATTCTCTATTTACATTGCCAATTCCTTTTATTCTCTATTCTCAACCAGATAACCACTTAATCTCCTTGGCTCTAGAGAATATAACTATCCTGTTATTATAGCTAAATCTCTTCATCTTGGGTATGAAATTCTGGTGAATCATTTCTAGATGACCTCCAAAACTAGCATCACCTTTCGAAAGTATATCCAAAATTAAACAAAATGCTTCAGATTAGTTATCTGGACAAGGCTCTACACAACTATAGTAGTACTTTTTTTATTTTTATAGGATAAACGTCTTGTGATTAAACTTTAGCTGATCTCAGCAGCGGCAAGAGGTTGTGATGTTAAAATTGGCATCAGTGTCCCTGTGTTAGGGGTGATATAGTGCCTTTCATGCCCTCCTGAAATGCACTATATAAATGCAATAGGGTGGGAAAATTAGCCAAGGTGCCAGCTTGTGTGTGATGTCAGCATTGGGTTTGGTAGTCCCTTGTGGTTGCATATCCTGTCAATCGAAGTTGACTGGTACTTGTGGAACCGTGCTCCAGTAACTGGAGAAATAATTAATGGTCCTAAATACTAATATAATTGCAAAACATTACCAGTCTGAATGCTCTGAGCTTTACCCGTCTAAATGCTACTAGCTATGAATCTCTAGCGCTGCTAACAATACCTGTCTTAGTGCTCTACTAGCAATACCCATCATCATTTATTTAGCAATGCTGTAGGCACAACCTCTCTTAACATTATTATGGTCTGTGATTAAAATTATGCTATGCCTCTGGGCTTGCTATGCAAGTTACTGAATATTTTTGTTAGCACAAAAGAACTTGTTAGAATTGGAACAGTTAATGACTCATTCAAAGAATGCTGCATTAATACTAATCCAAAAATTAAATGAGGCTATAAAATAACATTACCAACAGTAAGTTGAAAGTGATTTTGATTAATAGAGTAAAGCTGTGACCCATTTTGAATGTCTGTAAAGAAGGACTTGTTAAGCTATATTTGATACAAACATTGTCTCAATTGGAATCAACTGAAGCCCATTAATTCTGACACCTAAAATCCCTTGACTCACAGGAACTGGAGTAGATCATTCAGCTCATCGAGCCATTACATTTGTGGCAAATCTTTAATTTCACTTTCCTGCCTTTTATCGGTAATCTCTTAATATCCTTTAATCAAGAACTATCTTGAATATTTCCATCAATTGTATCTAAGGCATTGTGAATCATATTTTTCTGTATGATTTTCTGTAGCTTCCCCATACACTAGCTTAGCTTTGTTTTTAAAGATATGTTCTCTTGTCCTGGATTTCCCAATTGAGGTGAGGCGTTGTTTCCTCACTATGTCTTCTTGTGCTTTTCTGCTTTCTATGTTGCAGACAGTCCCAAACTTGGCTTGGCACTCAAATGCTGCCTGAAAATGATTTAAATTAAAAGTATCTAAAGTTAACTCTTTCACTAGAAAATCATTTGCTTTTAGCCATACCTGTATGATGAACATTTAACAAAGATACAGGCAGCAGTATGCATTTTTCAATCCAGCTTGTGCTCCAAACCTGTTTTTGCCTCATGGATCCTTCATCACCATGGCGAAGGTCATGATATGGCAATTTCTGCAATTGAACTGTATAAGGATAGAATCCTAGGCAATGATAGTGTTCTGGGAGCAGGAGATTTGGTAAGTGAAAGCTTAACAGCTGACATTCTGCTTTGCCCTTTTGGATCAGATATCAGACCAGACCAGAATATCAGTGGAATTAGAAAAGCAGGGAAAGTAATGTTAACTTTGTGTAAAACTTGGTTGGATCACATTTTGACGTTACCGTAGCAAGCGACAAGCACAATGTAGATTTACTAGGCTGTTCCAGAGATGAGAGGATACAACTATCAGGGAAGACTGGACAAGTTAGAGCTTTTGATTGTTGATTTTAACTAGTTTGCTCGTAGCTTCCCATTCTTCTGCCTAAGCCTTTGCAGTTCATGCCGAAAGCACCAATGCATGACTACAATTCTGTACATCTGCCCAGCAATTTCTGTGTTAACAAAAATGATGAAAATGTCCATGTTTTATATGTTTGCCAAAAAAATGTATTGACCAAAAGTTGTGTGCAATGTGCTAAATTGGAAATGAATCATGCAGTTCCTCACCTTGATTTTGGCTTCCTTAATGATAAAATGGTACAGCATGAAGCCTAAATAATTAATTTGACTACATTATATAGAGCCTATGGGGTTCACAAGTAAATAGAAACACACTGTTAAAACCATGTTGCCACATACTTATTTCCTTTTGCATGTGTTTTGTATTTCAACTGCGAGCGCACACTGTTCCTGCCTGAAATAGCTTTGGGATAGCTATGTTCAGTTTATAATGCATATCTATGTTCATTGTTTCTTTCTGTACCATAGTTGAACACAATACTTCTTTGTTTAAACTGCAAGCTTCCATCTTTTTATAGCTTGTTTATTATATGCTGCATGAATTGTGGGTAAGGTGGCAAATCCAACTGGGATGCATGTCTCCTTAAGAGATTTCAGGCAAAAAATAATGAGCTTTTTCTTTGTATGCTTTGTTGGAGCTGCCCTTGCAATTCTCTTCCATTCCCCCTCCTCAGGTCCTATTACTTCTGCTGCTTTTGCCACATGGGAAAGCTTTAATCCAAGTTGGCAGCCCCTTTGGGCAGTTTTGCAACTTTTCAGACGATAAATTATTGCAATGGTCATTTAACTGTTGGTAGTTGTGTTCCGTTTCAAATACTGAGGGGAAACTACCACAAGAATGTTTTTTTGAAAAGGCGAGGCGTTTTGGACTTGAAACATAGAATGCTTTGCCACATGTGGACAGCAGTGTTACACTTAGTTTGGGTAAATGAAATGGGACAAGTAATTGATCTGGATGTGGGGGAAAATTTGCGAAACAGCAATCATAATATAATTAGAACCTATGCAATAATAATTCTTGCACTTGATATAGCACAGTATCATGTCATTGAGACATCTCAAAGTGCTTCACAGGATATACTGTTAAGTGGTTTGACTGTGGGGGTTTGTGGGAAAAAAGATGTTTGACTGGAAAGCAAATTTCATAGAGATAAAGAGGGAGTTAGCATGGATACATTAGTCACAGGTATTGACGTACAAAACAGCTGATCAGCAATGAGATTTATTTAAAGTGAGATTGAAAGAGTGCAGAGCAGGCGCATTCCAAAAGGAGTTAAAGGGGTGCAGCAAAACATATGGTACCGTGGCTATCAAAAAAAAATGAGGAAGAAAATGAAGCACAAGCGAGAAGCTCACGTAAAATGCAAATCTAATAGAACTCTGGAAAACCATGAAATATATAAAAGGCATAGTAGAGGCAAAAGGGGAAATTAGGAAGATTAGGAGGGAACATGAAAAAGTGCTATCGGATAATATTAAGGGGAATAGTAGAGGTTGTATAAACATTAGAAGTAAAAGTGTAGCTCAGGAGGGAGTTGCGACACTTAAGATGAAAGCTGTAAATCATTGGTAGCGAATGAGGGTATGGTGGAACTATTTAATGAGTATTTTGCCTCACTTCACAGAGAAGAGGGGTACTCCCACGGACATTTAAAGGAAGGGAATAAGGAACAGCTACTTGGGATACAAATCCAGAAGGAAACTATACTAAAAATGTTAGGGAAACTAACAATTGAAGTCGCAGGGTCCTGATGGGATGTATCCCAAATTATTGAGGGAAACCAGGGAGGAGATAGTGGAGACTGTCGGTTTCCAAAAGCTGTTGGAGATCGGTCAGATGCCAAAGGATTGGAGGACAGCAGAAGTGCCACTGTTTAAGAAGAGTTACAAATGATGAGCTGGGTAACTTCAGGACCATTAGTCTGGTCAGTTGTGAGTAAACTTTTGGAGGCAAAAATGAGGGACTAGGTTAGTGATCAGATAGGCATGAGTTGATCAGGGACACTCAGCGTGGAGTTGTAAAGGGCAGATCATAGTGGAAAGAGCTGTGAAAAAAGCTAACAATGTTCTGGGTTTTATACACAGGGCCAGAATACAAAGGTGAAGGAATAATTTTAAGTTTGTGCGAATCATTGGTTACAACTGTTCTAATGTATTCATTCATGCTTTATAACATCACTTCAGGAAAGATGCTAATGCCTTGGAGGGGAACAGTGGAGATTTACAAGAATTTGCACCATAATTGTCCACAGCTCCAGGTTAGCTAAGGTTTCCCTTGTTAATGTAGCCAAACACAATAGTTTTAACTTGCTGCAGAAATTGTTTGGTGCAGAATTCTGCTTTGGCCTCCACAATTATAGGTCTCCTGAATATGGTTGGGCTTTAACTGTTTTCTGTTAACACTACAACAATTGGATACACAAGTGCCCATTTTCTGTGGCCATATTTATGCCATGTGTGTGGTCTCTGGAGCTGGAGATATATTTCTACACTCATAGTCTGATTATTAAACAGTGATGCTTGGAAGTATCGGGCTCTCTGTCCTCAGAACTGAAAACCAATATTTTGCTACCGTTAGTTCTTCCCCCCACCCCCTTTGTCAACTATCATAGACAGTGCCTTGTTAGTCCCAAATAACAACCCAAATTGTTAGCTCTGTCTCAGAATTATAGAAGTGCATATTTTGATATTGTGAATCCGGTATGAAAATTGTTTACACTTTACAATTTACATTTTGTACACTTACAAATACACAAAGACATGCATATTTTGAAATAGGGGAGGGAAGGAGCAAGTCGGAGGGACCTTGGAATGAAGTTCCAGGGAGTGTGGGAAATGGCTATAGTGGGGCGAATCTTGAGGGAAGTGTCGGCCGAGCGAAGGGAACGCTTAATGCTTAATTCATACAATGGGGTCTTTGGTGCACTGGTCTGCCACATGGACCAGATAATCTATCAGGGAGATAGTATATTTCAATACGTAATTAATGCTTGTGTGTTTGGTGACATAGTTAAAGCTTCATTTAGCTGCATTTCTTAGTGTTGAATATACACCAGTTGAGAATGAGAGCTCGGAGGTCCATAAAATCCCACCCAGCTTTATAACAGGGTATGATCATTGGTGGCCAGTGCTTACTCATTCACTGCATTATATAATGTAGCTGTTAAAATGAGGTTCTATTGTACTTTACAGTGCTAGAGATGAAATGTCGCTCATGTAACCTAATGAAGTTTATTATAATTGTGCTCAAAATAAACTTCAAATGGATTGTCTTTTTAAATGAAAACATTTCACATTTGGTCTTCCACTCTGAAATACGTCTGTGTATCTGAGCAAAAGACCAAAAATGTCTCTTATGTATATCAGGTTCTCTTTTTATATCAGTGCTGTGTTGTTACTTATATTTATTTCACCTTGTTACAGCCTGCCCATTGACAAGAGGTGAATCATTTTCTAATTTAGAAATTGGGCAGGGAAGCGCTATTGCAGAATCAGTCCCTGGTGCAGAGTGTTTGTTATGGTTCCCTTGTGCAAGTCAGACTCGTGATTTTTTTTTTCTGTGGCATCTTGACTTTAGTTGTCACCATTTGGTGAACCTTTCTTTGTCAGAGTCCTGCATTACTGGGTTGACCTTGTTCTCTATCCTCTTGACGGTCCCCAGCTTTCATATGTAATAACTTTGAGACCTTCTTATTGTAAAAGGCACTGTATAAATGTAACTTGTATTGGTACTATTTGGATATTTACCCAGAAGTTCTACCTCTTTCATATTTTAGCAGTCTGCCTTAACTATTCTTTTACTACCATAATAGCTTTTAAAATGGAATTAGACAAAAATTGGAAAAGGGAAAACGCAGCCGTATTGTATATCAGTCAGTCCTTCGAATGAGATGTTAACCTGAAATCCTGTCTGCCTATTCAGGTGGTTGTTACAGATCCCATGAGACTATTCAAAGTGAAAAGTGAAGAGAGTTTTGCCTGGTGGAAAATAACACATTGCCCTCCTGTTCCTTGTAAAGGTCTTGCTGTAATTTATCTTTACATTTTAACCTAACCCACAGTGTGTGCTTTTTGTGGAGTTATAAATATTTGTTTTCCTTTAATTACAGTTCTACTGAAATGCTTCTGATTGGAACTTCTAAATAACCCACAGTAAGACTTCCAGTGAGTTGTGATATTGATTGTATCTATTCATAAAAATATAATTTTAGTATTTTTAAATTCTGAACAATCTTTGAGAAATAAGATGAGGAAATTGCAATAAGTGCTAACATGAGATTTGTACATGACTCAATAATAATCCCTCCAAAAACCCAAAACAATAATAAATTGGTCATTTTCAATCTACGACTGTTTGTGGGACATTGCTGTGCGCAATTGGCTGCTGTGTTCGCCCACAAATATATAGTCAATTCACTTTACAGTGTGTTCTGTGAAGTGCTTTGGGACGTCCTCCCGACGTGAAAAGCGCTATATCAAATGCAAGGATTATTATTATTATTGAATGTAGAAAACTTGAGTTGAGTGTTCTGGCCTCAACTACCCTTCCTATCAACCTATTCCTATTGTTAATTACCCTCTGAGTAAAGAAAAAACTTCCTTGTCTCTGCCCTGAAATTTCCCTTTACAACTCTAAACCTATGCCCTCTTGTTCTGCTGTCTTGGTGCAACAGAAGGCCTGTAACTCAGTGGTTGGAGCACTTACCTTGCAAGCGAGAAACCTGGGTTCAATTCTTGGCGGGGCGAAACCTTGGGCAAGTTTCCTTACTCCAAACGCCTGATAATAATCCCTCAAGAAAAAAAAACATAATAAAATTGGTCACTTCAATCCATGACTGTTTGTGGGACACAAACTGTGTACAATTGGCTGACCGGTTTCACCCACAAATATACAGTTAGTTCACTTTACAGTATATTCTGTGCGGGGCTTTGAGACATCTAGAAGATGTGAAAAGCACAATATCAAATGCAAGGATTATTATTATTCTAAAGTGTTGATCTGGGTTTACATTTTCAATCCATTTAAAATGTATACAACCCACATGGTGCAATCGCCATCATATCTGTACCTTTGGAGGAAGCAACTGATTGATGCTAAATTATCCTCAGTCTCTTGGATTACAGTTAGTTGAAAAGCATCATTAGAAGAGTCCTGAGTTCGGAGCAAACTGCTTGCTTTAGTTGGGGAAAGGTCTATGATGTGGAAGTTTTTTTAAGATGTTGTTCACAAGTTTGAAAATGTTAAGCTGTACAACTCATCTTCTGATCCTCTGCTTGTCCACAATCCAGAAGTTTAAAATGAATCGACCAACTCAAATAGATTTGAACAACATATAAAATACTCAGAAAAGTTTAATAAACCAATGTCATCTTGAAATCATTTTAAATTGGAAATAAAATCTAAAGGCTGTGAATTTAACAACAACTTGCATTTATTTATTTACTTATTGTTTTTAAGTTCAAAATACAGCCTATACATAGGTCTGTTAGGTTTGTTATTCTACTATTATAGATAACAAGTTTCAAAATTACCTTCAGACCATTGAAGTGTTCAAATCGCTCTGATACATTGTGGTTAGAATGTTGTCTTCAAATCCATAATAATGTTGATTTCAAGTGCAATTTGAATCTCTTTATTTTATATATAATTATGTTTTAGTTGTCCACTGAATACTAAAGGATACTTTAGAAATTGTTTGACATTGTATTCATTTGCAGGCTTAAAGACATATCTTTAACTCTTGCCAACTGATATTGGACCCCTCAGGTGTACGAAAATGTCGGATAAAAGTGATTTAAAAGCGGAGTTGGAGCGTAAAAAGCAACGCTTGGCTCAGATACGAGAAGAGAAAAAAAGGAAAGAGGAAGAAAGAAAAAGGAAAGAGGTTAGTAAGTAAATAATTCTAAATTGTTAAGATCAATTGTTAAGATCAAAATGGAGTCCTGTAGATTTGTGGGTAGAGCACTCGCCGCACAAGAGAGAAGATAGTGAAGACGTAATAAGGCTCTATATCAATTGCAAGATTTATTATTAAATAATGCTTCTACGATTCTTTTTGTGTATGTGTTTGGGGGGGTGGGGGGAGAAGTAAGCAGGCTCAGTTTGAGGCTGAATTTGCTCCAAGATGATGTTCTTGGTAATAAAATCAGAATTGAGTTAATCCTCTGTGGTGGTCAACCAGTCTCTGAGCCAGGCGGGTTCTTCAGGGCACTGCTGATGACACAGCAGCCAGTTATTTGGAGCAGGAATTCTTTCCACTAAGTTCCTGTTAACCCTGAAGCCAAAGCCCTGATGGGTAGGGTAGTTGTAGCTGGATAAGCTGCAGGAATCTTGCTAGATAGTGCTGTCATTGGGACGCTATTTCTGTTTTAGCAGGTTAAACCCAATACACACTAGGGGTCCCCAAGCCTCAGTTCTTGCCTAGCTGTACCTACTACTCACCCAAATAAGGTGGCAATGGTGCACATTCCATTCCAGACGCAGAGAAATTTCTATGCAGTTGCCTTACATATGTTGAATTGTCAGTCTAGTTTGGATACTCAAGTATGATTTGGTTAGCCAGGTGTCTTGGCACAGGTGGAAACCCATCAAAACCAAACAGAGTTCTATGCAAGCCACCTACAACTGGAAATTACATAGATATTTTTTGTAGTGGAATGTGCAATCTCTCCCTGGAGGGACTTACTCTGCTTATCCTAATTCTGGAGAGTTTTAGGGCCAGTTGGCACAAGTTAAGGCTTGGGGACCAGAGTGTGATTTGGGTACTCCTAGAGTTTCCAGCTAGGACCACCCTACCCATTAGGCCCCCAGTGATTGGTCTGCCTTTCCAAGTCCTGGCAATGAGCCAGGCAGACTAGGCTGTCATCATCATTGTGGACATGCCTGGCTCAGGCGGGCTCAGCAACTGGACTATCACAGAGGGTTGGCTCAATTTTGACATTCTTTTGACGAGCATGTCACCTTGAAGCCAGTTAAGTTGCAAGGAAACCTGCTCACCTCTCCCCCCAAGGATGATAGTCATTAGTTGGTCAGACTATTGACCACTTGCCGTCAAGACTCATGTTTGACAATTGACAACTTGGGCTGGTAACAGAAGGGCAATAGGTGCCTGTGAAAGCATAGAAAGCAAGGGGAGTGAATAATAATAATAATAATATCCTTGAGGATGAAAATAATATGTGTATCAAGTAGGATGGTAGGTTTTTGCATATGTCAAGACACCTGACACCTCAAGAATCACCCTAAAAATGAAATAGAAGGTATAGAAGATTTAAGAAACCTGTCACCAGAATCACTTCAATTGGACTTCTAACCTGGGTTAGAAAGGGAAATCAGCCACATTTCTCAATCGACATTGGAATTACTCCTGCAGCCTGAATGATTGAACTTGACTGTCATGCCCTCCACGGTTGAATAACACTTGCTGTCAAGACTCATGTGTGAAGATTGGCCACTTGCGCAGGTACCAAACGGCAACCGGTACTTGTGTGGCGAAAGTGTAGAAGAAAAGGGAAGTCATACTCCTTGAGAAGATGAAAGCAATATAAATAACCGTTATCTTTTACCAAAGAGCTAACTTTGCTGAATGTCCAACTCTGCTTTCAGACCGAGATGCAGCAGAAAAAAGAGCCCCCCCCTGAGGATTCTGACCTTGACCGCAAGCGAAGAGAGACTGAGGCTTTACTGCAGAGCATTGGCATAGCACCAGAGCCACCACTAGGTACAGAATGAAATACCTGTTGCACATAATCTGATCCTATTGAATATGATATTATTCTTGAGGAAGATCCTGTGTCTTAAAACGTGTACACAAAATGTTGAAATAGAAGAGGGTATGAGCAAAAAAGCTTTGTGAGTGCATTTGCACCCTCTGCTTTTGTGCTGTTTTCTTGGTCACGTTTCTAGTAGGATGAATGGAAACTTTATAATCTTAACTTGTTTAACCTAATTCCTGAATTTTATCTGCGAATCCCATTTTAAAATCCCTTCTGCATGATTGACAATGTGTGATCAGGTTCTATTCCTCCCCCCACCCCATCCCTGAACGGAATTTGTTAAAAAAAAGTTGCTTAATTTTTTTGATTGAATGAACAAAAGGTTAATATTCAGTACATCCATACAAACTAAATGATGGGTTAAGATATCCTATAATGAACTTCACTCAACAACAATAGCAGCAGCTTGCATTTATATACAGTGGCACACAGGGTTGTGGTTCAATCACTGAGCTCTCAAAACATTATTGGAAATAGTAATGCTTACAAGCCAAATTGGTAGTCTACAATCATTCTGCTAGTTAGCGATCATTAAATTCACGTGGGAAAATGGAAATTAAGACATTGATTTGGGAAAATGGTGGGTGGCGGGGGGGAGGCAATGGAACAGAAAACTAATAATAGGAAAAAAAGCTGTTAAGAATTATGTTCTTAACTTAAAAGTTATTTTTAAAAACAAAAAAATTATAAATAAGGGAACAGAATTAAAAATGAGGGAATAAATGAACAAGCTAATAGAAAGGTACAATGGGGTAGGATTTTGGTTGTGTCCTGTGTGCCTCTGAAATCCATCTTCCATTTGTGCTCCTTGTTTTTGCTGTAACTATCGAACAATCTAAACTTGCCGTTTTTGCTGCATTCACAGTTAAAATTGCAAGGAATCAGATTTAAATCATTCACATGAATTTTCCACATTGGTTAAAAATTGGCTAAATTGTTTTATTCAAAATCAGGATCGCTGGTGCTTATGCAAAATTTTTAAACTGGTGAATGTCTTCCAGAGGATATTGGTAAAACCATAGGGCAGCAATTCAATTTTACTCATTCTGTATGCTGCCTAAATTCTCCATTGCTTATTTTGAAACTTTGTTACTCAAATATTAACTGGACATGGTGGCCAAAAAAGTGACTGCTGCATCTGTTTTGCATTGTCTGTAAAACCATGTTTAAACACAGCTGTATCATACATTATGTTCACAAAGGAATTACAGATGTCCTTAATCATTTAATTAACTCCTGCACCAGGCTATTTGAGCCCAGGAGATTGAGTTCGGTGATCCCCATTCTCACTATTAAAGCCTACCACGGTCTTGCCCAACCCTACTTTTGCAACCTCCCCAAACCTTACCAACCTGTCTGCTCCCTCTACTCAGTGAGCACTGGCCTGCTTCGCGTCTTCATCCCCACCATCAGTCGTCAGGCTTTAAGCTTATCTGTCCTCACTCCATCCTGTGGTCCCTTTGGCTGATCTTTCACTACCCTCCCTCAAGATCCCCTCGAGAACTTCCTCTTTGATCATGACTTCAGCCATGTTTTCTTCCTTCCCCCTCCTCTCCATCCTCTTGGTCTTCAACTCAACTCAGATGTAGCCCCTGGACTGCCCAGCATCTTGGAATGCCCTCCCGATGTGAGAGATGCTAAATGTAAAAATGTATTTGATGAGAAAAATTATTCACAGGCATTTACATATGGTGCATATTATAGTTTTAACACATGATCTATTCATGGTGTTCTCATAGTATATAATGAGGTCTTCTAATATTTGGTTTTAATCAAAACCTCCTGATAAAACACCCTCGATACAAAAAAATTGTAAATCGGTGTTTATCCCATAACCCCTGGAAAATCCTGTCCTGACGTCAACTGCGCACGTTACTCCCTTTCTCCACCTCTCCCCTCCGAGTCCCCAGGTGTGTCTTGTGTTGCTTTGTGAGAGTGGGGAGGCACTGCGCATGTGTGAATTTGTCTCTCTCCCCTCTGTGTGCATAGGCACCCTGAATCTTATCATACAAGTTAGTGAAAGCCCCCAAAACCTACAATTTTGTTTTTAGATCCCCCAAAAATGCCAAAAAGAAAAACTTACATTTTTAAACCACGAAAAACAGTAGCCCTATAAATAATAAACCTCCATGTCCCAATGTGCTGTTCTATATCTCAACTTGTATGAATGCAGTGATAGTCAAGCTTAAGTCCTGCAGTTCATTGGTAAGAGCACTCGCAAGCGAGAGAACTGGGTTCGATTCCTGGCAGGGTGAACCTTGGGCAAGTTTCCTTACTCCACACGCCTGATGATGATAATAATAATAATCACTCAAGAATAAAACACAATAATAATTTGGTCACTTAATCCACGATTGTTTATGGGACACTGCTGTGTGAAATTGGCTGCCGTGTTTTGCTCGCAAAATACGCAGTCAATTCACTTTACAGTATATTCTATGAAGCGTTTTAAGATGTCTAGATGATGTGGAACGCTAAATCAAATGCAAGGATTATTATATCTTTATTAAGTCCTGTACTTTGTCAAATGTAAACTCTACAACATATGTTCCCGTTCTGTTATTTTTTGTTCAATTATTTCTCCAGAATGTTTTGAGTTTAATTCATGGTTTTGAGACTTTGTTTTTTGCCGTTTCATTTTTACACTTACTCACCAGAGAGAAAAAATGCATGAATAAGTAAATTTAGTTGTGAATTAGTGTGGCTGGGTTTCAGTTGCAATTTGTAAAATCAGCTCACGAAAGAGGACTTTTAGTTTTTCCAGAAAACTTTGAAATCTGTATCTCATGTACATCAACATTGTGCCAAGGCAACCTATTATTCTTAATACCCAATTGAGACTGCAATAGGCAAATTGAAATTATAATCAAAGTACAGTTGTTTGAATAAGTTTCCGATTTCCAATTAAAATCAAAATGATTGTTCTTTATTGCAGTCTACTACATACCTGCAAACTTATTTGCTTGTCAATTGCACCTTCCTGGTCTAAGCTGTTGTGTTTTTTTTGCATATATCTTAAACTGAATGTTACTAAATTTAATACCGCTCCTGTCCCACTTCAAATTGCCTGTAGCTTTAATGGACTCTGAAATGGCAACACAAAAATTGTCACTAAGCATCTACAGTTGAGTGCTGCTGTCTTTTCGTTGAACTTGCAGCCAAGCACGTTTTGGCATTTAGGCTAATGATCTAAAGGAGAATTGGACATTTGTATTTGAGCTTCCCCTAGTATCTGGAAGTTCCAAAGGTCAAACTGCACTTAACTTAGAAGCTATTCTTAATATAGATATGAAATATTCCAATGATTGTTTTGCTGCGGTTCCTCAAAATGATGTATTGGGGCAGTACTTGAAGATGAGCATCGAACTACTGAATCAAAGAAACATTCAAATGTCAAACCGGAAAAGATCTTTGCAGTCCATCTGACCTAAAGTAAGAGCAAACAAATAATCTTACATTACTCTGTCTTGGTAAGTGTAAAATGAGTGCCTGTTGGAAGGGATGTTGTAATAAAATTGTTTGCTTACAGCGATGAAGTTGAAAGTTCGGATTCAGTGGCTGGTATCTTGAGTCCTAAATAACGTTTGGATGCCACAGTGATGTGGGAAGCATCACATCACTTAAGCTCTCTTGAGATGCTGTCCAGTGTGGAGGGCGCTATATAAATCCAAGTTGTTGTTGTTGAATAAGTCTTGGCAATGTCTGTCTCCGATCACAATGTGAGCTGCAAATCGTGTTATCTTTTGGGATTAAATCTTAACATAAGTTGTGCAGTATTTATATATTTCATTTTGTGACCTTTGGAATAGTCAGACACGGGGGAAAAGCGTTACAGAATCCTATTTCTGAGGTTTCTCTAGAGAATCCGTTTAAATGAAGTGTAATTAAGTAAGTCAGGCATTTGGTCCCTTTCCATCCATAATAAAATTAAAATGGTTGGAATCAAATCGAAGTGATTAAAATGTGTCATAACATACCATAATCATTTTTAAATTGTATTGAAACTCTTAACTGTTGGTAGACCCAAAACAATACAACTAGTGGTGTAAATATGTACAAAAACAAAGGGAAATGAGTAACATGTATTTATTGTATATACATAAACAAAGGAAATTGCAGCTTCTGGGAGGGAAATCCCCAGCCCAAGAGAACCTGTTTTAATTTTCTCATGTGGCTCTGCAAAATTAGGAATCTACGATTAAATTGAACGTAATATACAGTCTTGACTTTTCTATCTTTTTACAAGTGCATTAAAATGTTTGCAGTAATTCATGGTATTTTGAATGGTTAATGTTATGAGCAGCCAGTGAATTACTGAACCCTTTACTGAGCACTTAAGCTTATTATCTACAGATCAGCTATCAATTGAATCAAGATTTCACAATTCTCTTATTAATCTTGGTCTGGGTTCTGCTCATCTAAGTTGTAGTAGCATTGTCTGAAATTAATACAACACACAACATTTTTCTGCTTGGAAGGCTTGTATGCACCAAATCAAATTGCTGTAATTCACAGCAACCTATAGAGTGTGGTATGAGGTGAAACTCTGCAACATTGTGGTAAGGTGTCTTGAGTACACATTCCAAATTCATATAGAATATTTTGCAGAATCAAAAATTAAATATTCATTTGACTTTTCCCTCTTTTCTTTCCTTTTTCTTTCGGCTTTTACCATTTCAATTCCATTTTCTGCCACGTTCCCCATTTGCTTAAATCCCTCTTATTTTCTTGTCTGACACTGCTCTCCATCAGTGCAGCCGCTGCGATTAGTAACATGGGATGCCTGTTATTTTCATTATTTAGTCCCAACCCCTATGTCTCCCTCTTCGAAATCAGTGAGCACACCCAGTGAAGCCGGCAGCCAGGATTCTGGAGATTGCGGACAAGGTGGAAGGTAAGCAATTTTTACTTATGCTTTGCAGGGTGCTGCTAAGTTTTTTTTAAAAAAAGACAGATTTTGCATTTGGTACCCCCTTAACCTTGGCTAAATGTATGATCTATATTCTAATTTTGAAGATTTTTCTGTATGCGTGACCATTTTTGTTTCTCTGAGATTATTCAAACCAAGCAGCTGTACAGATTGTTGATTGGGAGTTTTTAAAAAAGTAAATTGATGTGAGAAAAGAAGGCTGCATTATGTAAAGAACAACTGAAATACTGGATCCTGAAAAAGTAGGTTAAAGGACCACATGACCTGCATTGTAGTTGGAGGCACATGGAGTTAGCCATGTCTGCAGCTCTTCCCACAAGTTCCCAATCTTACTTTGAAGAGCTGAGTCCTTCTTTTCTCCCATTGTAATTCCATATGACCAGTTATAGAACTGCATTTGCAAGGGAAAAAAGAGGGTTTGTCACTTGAATATGAATTATGGAACTTGGTTGGCTCTGGAAGCTTTTGTTTTGGGTGGGGGGGGATGTATGCATCAACACAACTTGGTGGTGCGATGAGTTAGGAGAATGTGCATTCACCATTGACACCTGGGTTTGATTCCAGCTCAGACTGATGAGATGAAAGGCTACTTTGTTAGCTTGCTAGGATAGTCTAATTCAATTCCTAGTGAATGTGAGCTCACAGCTCCAAACTGACTTTTAATGTGGTCCTAAATTGGCAATTTTGCCCAGACTGTGGCTTTTGTGGCAGTAGAAAATGTTCCACTGAGTATGTTCTGAAAGTGCAACGGTTAGAGTTACAGTTTGCTCACCAGGAGCTTAAATAGTTCAAATCCTAGTCCGTGCTGAGTTTGCTGGACTCAGCCAGAGCTGTTTAGGGAGGCTAAATTGGCACCACATACCCAGTGTTAGGGAAGGGAAAACCACCCAAGTACATTTTTGACCATGCTTTCGATCAGCTTTCCCCTCCCTACCCCTTGTCCTTCTCCTCTCCCACCCCTCCATCCCCAGCACAGGTACATATGCAACATTGCTTTTAGATAGAATGCATTGCTAGAGTTGTGCTGTATTATTGGATGTGCTGTCCTTTGGATGATACATTAAACTGAGGCCCTGTCTGCCTGTTCAGGTTAAAGATCCTATGGCACTATTCGAAAACAGAAGAGAGTTTGTCCCGGTGCCCTGGCCAGCAATTCCCCCAATTCAAATTGGTAATTTGTTTTCATGCCTGTTTGTGGACATTGCTGTGTGTAAATTGGTTGCCCTGTTCACCCACAAAACACACAGTCCCTCCATTTTAACACTGTATCCTGTAAAGTGCTTTGTGGTGTCCTCCAACATGAAAAGCACTATAATAAATGTTAGGATTATTATTATTTGAAGGGATACCCTATGTAGACTGATTTAAGGAATGTACTGTTTGAAATAGACTGATTGAAGGCATGTACTACTGCATGTGGACTGATCAAGACAAATACTTCTGCTCTAATATACTGCTTTGGGTCAAAATGGCTACTGCTACATCACTTCCTACGCTGCATGTGCACAGCATTGAAGACGCAACTCAAGTCTTTTGTCTTTTTCTGAAACACCCGCCTTAGTGCCTGCACATTGTGCAAGAAATCACTTCTCTCACACTGTGCAAGCATAAAGACTGGTATGGAAACCATTTGTTTTTTTTTCTTGTGTGAATGGTTGTTGCTGTGAATGTGGCCTTTTAAAAAGCTTATCTGAAATTTGTAGATGAATCAAGAATCTTAATTTCCATAATTGTGGAAAATATTGGCGATGACTTGGGCCAATAGAAAAGTGCGGCCACTACAATCCACTACAAACTCGCTACGAATGTCGTTTCTGGCCTCGCGCTGTTTACCCAATGTCACTAACTGGAGCGGCTCCGGAGGTGCATGCGCAGTGCTGCGCAAGCGACAAATGGGCTTCACTCAGAGGCCCCGCTATTGTGAATGTGTGTGTGTCCCTCTCTCTGTGTGTCTCTCTCTGTCTGTTTGTGAGTGGCTCTATGTGTCTTTGTATCTCTCTGTTGGTTTTTGTGAGTGTCTGTGTGAGTGTCTCCCCTCTGTGTGTGTTTGTGAGTGTCTATATGAGTGTGTTTCCTCTGTGTGTTTGAGTGTGTCTGTGTGAATGTGTAAGTGTCTTTTTTCCTTTGTCTTTGTGTGTAGTTTCTCCCCCCACCCTGAAAAAAAGGGCCGCCCAGTTTTTGTTAAAGAAGCAATAATTTTTTTTAATCTAATATGTGTTATTTGCTCATGTTTAGTTTTTAGCAATAAAGTGAAAAATGTAGGTTGACAGTAAAATGTTCCTCAATAGCACCAATCAACTCTCCGCATTTTTCTTGAAAATTTCCGAAAATCTCACCAATCTCCCCGTGGTTTTTGGCAGACATTTCCACATTTTTTGATTGGCCCAGGTGATGGCTACAGTAAATAATAAATAATTCTACCAGAAACAGTTTGGGAATCCACACAATTCCCTGAGCAATATGTTCCAGGCTGTGTTTACCTCTTGTGTAGAGAAATTCTCTGTTGTCCTGCTCACTTGGCAGATCTGAAAGTATTTTCGGGCTTTTACTTTTGTATTCTTATTTAGCATTCTATATACTTCTATATGAGATTCTCTGTGAAAAGCCGTAGCTTTTCTATTCATTCCTCGTAGTTCATTCCTCTTTCATGTTGTTGAGGTTTGTTGACTTCAGCAGCGGCTATATTTCTCAGTGACCAAAATTGGATACAGTGTGTAGTATAACCAGAGAACTGTACACCTGGAGCATGGTTTCTGGACTCAGCTCATTCTGCAGTTCAACCTCTTGATTGCCTCATTTATTGCTACCTCACACTGTTTGCATATGGTGAGAGACCAGTCAACTATATTTCATGTTTTATAACTGAATTTTTAAAAAATTGCCTGAGCGCTATAATGAGTGACTTAATTGTTAATTCGTACACATGATTGGGAGCATTTTGTGTTGTGATTGAATGATGTCATCTCAAACAGCCACATGATATTGTCTTCCCGTTGTGACTGATGGTAAACTGACTTTGAAGGCACAATTTAAAAAGGGAAGTTAATTCAATTATCGTTATTATTTTGTAAGCGCCTCCCTTACCTGACTCTTCTTCTGCTGTCAGATGATCATTTCATCTTTTTCACTGGTTAAGTACGCCATAGTTTCTCCCTTGTGGCATTTTTTAAATAGTATTATTTGATGCAGAATTTGTTGATGTGAGCTGTGAGAGATCACTAAAGTTTAGTCTGCTGTTGCGAGTGTGTACTGTAGTACAAACATCAAAGGTCTTTCTAGAAAACCTAATAACAGCTTAGTGCCTTAAGATCTGTTGTATGTATAACCATATCCCTTGGGGAAACACTTAACCTATGATTAAGTTAATATTTCTTGGCAACCTCTGATCTGATGGTTCACAAAGGACTGTTGTCTTAGAGCTATTGAGATCTGAAGAATCCAGTTGCAGTAGGTTACTTCCATTGGCTTTGCAATTGATAGCCGCTTTGAGGTTTCTGTCAAGTAATATAAACCATCTGAGGTCTGCCTGTAGATGGCTGGGAATGACCGTAGTTACGCTGAGTGGATAGTTCACAGTTCTTATCAGAAGAATTCAGCGTCATACACACAACTGAATTACTAAAGTATCTGCTGTGTTTTGAAGATTAAAAAAGAAATAGTAAAAATGCTTTTCTACATTGTTTGTATATTGTGATGATTTAAATATAATCTGTGGAAATGCACATTTTATTATTTTTTTGCAAGAGATACAGATGCTTCAATGCATTGTCCACAACCAGACTGATGATGATCTGGGTTCAGTATTTCTCACATTGATGAGCTGCCTGATTTCAAATCTTGGCATCTTGGTAGTTGTTGAGTAAAAGACATGTCCTTAGGAGTCCTGTAGCTCAGCTTTTCACGCAGCCTCCACTTCGTCTCAGCAAACGGCTTCTCCTCCAGCCCCCTGTTCTTTCTCCCCCATATCCTACCTCTCTGACTCCCTACCAACCTGTCCGCTCCCTCCGTTCATCGGGCTCCGGCCTGCTCCACGTCTCCCGCCCGACCCGCCCTACCATCGGTGGCCGGGCTTTCAGCCTCTCTGCCCCCACGCTCTGGAACTCCATCCCACGGTCCCTTCACCTCGCTTCCACCCTTGCCTCCTTCAAAACGGGCTCAAGACCCTTCCCCCTTGATTGTACCTTTGGTCGCCCTCCCACCTCTCTGCCTTCCCTCACCCCTACACCACTCCTACCCCATGTTCGAGTCCTGACCACTGACTGTCTAGCGCCTTGGGACGTCCTCCCGATGTGAAAGGCGCTCTATAAATGTAATTTTGTTGTTGTTGTTTGATTCCCAGCAGGGCGAAACCTTCGGCAAGTTTCCTTACTCCACATGCCTGACATTAATCCCTCAAAGAAAAAAAGAAAAAATACAATAATAATTTGGTCACTCAATCCACTACTGTTTGTGGGACACTGCTGTATGCAATTGGCTGTCACGTTTTGCCCACAAAATATACAGTCAATTCACTTTACAGTATATTCTGTGAAGTACTTTGAGACGTCTAAAAGATGTGAAAAGCACTATATCAAATGCAAGGAGTATTATTATTACTGTCTTTCTTCCAGAAAGAAAGAGGAAGAAGGAATACTGTAGAGCCTTGTATATTGAAACATTTGAAAATACTTTGCAACATTTATTGCCAAATGATAGTCGAGTATACTGATTGCTCTTTTACCTCTTGGTAGTGCATCCTTATTATCTTATTTACCTCACCTCACATGGCATCACGAGAAGGGTTGGGAATGATTGCAGTGATACCAAATGGACAGTTCACGGTTCTTATCAAAATGCATAGCACACCGTCAGAAGCTGAATTAAATAAGAATCCAAATATCTGCTGTGTTTTCAAGATTAAAAAATAAATCTTAAAAATGTTTTTCTACAATGTTTGCATATTTTGACCTGCAACTTTTGAAACA